GAATCACTTGAACCTGGGAGGTGCAGAATGCAGTGAGCTGAGATCGCGCCACTGCACTCCAACCTGGGCGACAGAGTAAGACCCTGTTTCAAATAAATAAATAAATAAATAAATAAATAAATAAATACTGTACAATGAGGCTGGGTGCAGTGCCTCATGCTGTAATCCTGGTGATTTGGGAGGCTGAGGCAGGAGGGTCACTTGAGTACAGGAGTTTGAGACGTCAGTGAGCTATGATTGCGCCACTACTCTCTGGCCTGGGCAATAGGACAAGACCCTGTCTCTAACCTCAGAACAAAACAAGAAAAACAAAACCAAAAACCTCTCTACCATCAGAAAATTATTGACACTTTTGGTTTCAGATGTGCGTGTCTTGCTGTGAGTCCACATCCAGCAGGGACAGGTAAAGCTAAGAGAACCAGGGCTCCTCTCCTTCCTGTGTGTATGCACCTTCCCATGAATACACGAAATAAAGATGATTACTTACTCTATGTGTTACACTTGCAAATCTTGCCTTTTTTATTGCTCTACAATATGAGGTAACCAAGATTGTACATAAGTAGTATTAGACAACTCGCTGCACACTATCTCTGACTCTGTGTTGTCCTATGTGGTACTTAGGATAATATTATTTTCATAATTATGCATGAATAATTTTTCTAGGGCCACCAGCTGGTCCTAGCTGGCTGCCTTCTCCTCCACCCCTGCTGCCTACATAAGTGGTTTGTTATTTTTCAAAGATAAGTTTTGTAAAACTTGTATTTTAGATTTTGGGGCACATGTGAAGGTTTGCTACATAGGTAAGCTTGTATCACGGAGTTTGATGTACAGATTATTTCATCACCCAGGTATTAAGCCCATTACCCACTATTTATCTTTTCTGCTTCTTTCCCTTTTCTTACCCTTCACCCTCAAGTAGAACTCAGTGTCTGTTGTTTACTTCTTTGCATTTATGAGTTCTCATCATTTGGCTCCCACTTGTGAGAACACACAATATTTGGTTTTCTCTTCCTGTGTTAGTTTGCTAAGGATAATGGCCTTCAGCCCCATCCATGTTCCTGCAAAATATATTATCCTGTTCTTTCTTATGGCTGCATAGTATTCCATGGTATATATGTACCAAATTTTCTTTATCCAATCTGTCACTGATGGGCATTTAGGTTGATTCTATGTCTTTGCTATCATGAATAGAGCTGTAATGAACATTCATATGCATATATTTTTATGGTAGAATGATTTATATTCTTCTGGATATATACCCATTAATGGGATTGCTGGGTCAAATGGTACTTCTGCTTTTAGCGGTTTGAGGAATCACCATACTGCTTTCCCAATGGTTGAACTAATTTACACTCCCACCAACAGTGTATAAGTGTTCCCTTTTTTTCTGCAATCTCGCTGGCATTGTTTTTTGTTTTTTTTTTTTTTTTGAGTTTTTTTTTTTTTTTTTTTTTTGAGATGGAGTCTCGCTCTGTTGCCCAGACTGGAGTACAAAGGTGCGAACTCAGCTCCCTGCTACCTCCGCCTCCTGGGTTCAAGCAATTCTCTGCCTCAGCCTACCAAGTAGCTGGGATTACAGGTGCCCGCCACCATGCCCAGTTTATTTTTGCATTTTTGTTAGAGACAGACTTTCACCGTGTTGGCCAGCCCTGTCTCAAACTCCTGACCTCAGGTGATCTGCCCGCCTTGGCCTCCCTAAGTGTTGCCATTATAGGTGTGAACTACCATGCCAGGCCACATGTATGTCTTTTGAAAAGTGTCTACTTACGTCCTTTGTTCACGTTTTAATGGAGTTGTTTTTCTCTTGTAAATTCGTTTAAGTTCCTTATCCGTGCTGAATATTAGACCTTTGTCAGGTAATGTGATAGTTAATATTAAGTGTCAACTTGATTGGATTTAAGGACGCAAAGTATTGTTTCTAGGTGTGTTTGTGAGGGTGTTGCCGAAGGAGATAACATTTGAGTCAGTGTACTGGGAAAGGCAGACCCACCCTCAATCTGGGTGGACACCATCTAATCAGCTGCCAGTGCGGCCAGAATAAAAACAGGCAGGAGAATGTCGAAAGAGTAGATTAGTCTTCTGGCCTACAATTTTCTCCTGTGCTGGATGCTTCCTGCCTGCGAACATCAGACTCCAAGTTCTTCAGCTTAGGGACTCGGACTGGCTTCCTTGCTCCTCAGTTTGCAGACAGCCTATTGTGGGACCTCACTTTGTGATCGTGTGAGTCACTACTCCTTAATAAACTCTTTATATATTCATCTATCCTATAGTTCTGTCCCTCCAGAGAACCCTGATGAATATGGATGCATAGTTTGCAAATATTTTCTGTAGGTTGTCTTGACAGTTTCTTTTCTTTTTTTGTTTTTTTTTGAGACGGAGTCTCGCTCAGTCGCCCAGGCTGGAGTGCAGTGGCACTATCTTGGCTCACTGCAAGCTCCGCCTCCCAGGTTCATGCCACTCTCCTGCCTCAGTCTCCCGAGTAGCTAGGACTACAGGCGCCACCACACCCGACTAATATTTTGTATTTTCAGTAGAGACGGGGTTTCACCGTGTTAGCCAGGATGGTCTCCATCTCCTGACCTTGTGATCCACCCGCCTCGACCTCCCAAAGTGCTGGGATTACAGGCGTGAGCCACCGTACCCATCCTCTGTTGACAGTTTCTTTTACTGTGCAGAAGCTCTTAAGTTTAATTAGATCCCACTTGTTAATTTTTGCTTTTGTTGCCATTACTTTGGTGTCTTGGTCAAGAATTCTTTGCTCTTTCCTATGTCCAGGATGGTATTGCTTAGGTTGTCTTCCAGGGTTTATATAGTTTTGAGTTTTATGTTTAAGTCTTTGACCCATCAAAGATAATTTTCTTTTTCTTTTTTCTTTCTTTTTTGAGATGGAGTTTCGCCCTTGTTGCCCAGGCTGGAGTGCAATGGTGCGATCTTGGCTCACCGAAACCTCTGCCTCCTGGGTTCAAGCAATTCTCCCATCTCAGCCTCCTAAGTAGCTGGGATTATAGGCATGTGCCATCACGCCAGGCTAATTTTGTATTTTTTTTAGTAGGGACGGAATTTCTCCTTGCTAGTCAGGCTAGTCTCCAACTCCCAACCTCAGGTGATCCATCTGCCTTGGCCTCCCAAATTGCTGGGATTACAGGTGTGAGCCACCGTGCCCAGCTAAAGGTAATTTTTGATGTTGAATCTGATTTTTCTCTTTAAGAAACTGGGTCTCCCTCTGTCACCCAGGCAGAAGTGCAGTGGCATGATTATAGCCTACTGTAACCTTGAACTTCTAGGTTCAAGCAATCCTCCTGCCCTAGCCCCTGAGTAGCTGGAATTACAGGTGAGAGCCACCAAGTTGGTGAATATGATTTTTCCTTAGTGCAAGTCGACGAATCTGATTTTTCCTTAACGTTTTAGCACAGAAGTTAAATGGTTGCTTAATTTTACCAAAAAGGTAATATTTGAGAATATTTTTATCAACATGTACACAAAGCTACCTAGAAAATTAGCTTTCTCAGTAGAAATCCAAGCACCCTGATAATACTGGTGTCACTTATGAATAAATGTTTTGAAACTTAGCTTTTTTTTTTTTTTTTTGGCCTCCCAACATAAAGCCATACAAGGAAACTTCAGGAAATTAATAATTTATTTATAATTTTTTTTCTTCAAAAAACCTTTCAAAGTTCAGACACTAACACTGATGTGAAATATCAAATAGCTCTACAGGACAGATGGAAACAGGAAAAGTCAGATGATTGGCACCCAAAAGCAACAGCAATTAAGCAGTTGAAAGAGGATTGGATTGTTGGTTAATATTTGTCTATTTGAAAGAATCAAGTTGGAGATGTAACTTCTTGAGAGAAGGAGATTAAGTCACACTTGATGTTTCCCCTCACTGACCAACGGACTGGGCTATCTTGTTAACTCTCTTTTCTGTTTAATTGCATTCTGTACTCTAATTTTCTCAGAGTGTGAACACATACACACACACACACACACACATATATATATAATATATACATATATAGATATACAAACATTATATATATATATATAATTTTTTTTTTTTTTTGGTTTTGAGACAAAGTCTCACTTTGTTGCCCAGGCTGGAGTGCAGTGGCATGATCTTAGGTCACTGCAACCTCCGCCTCCTGGGTCCCAGCAATTCTCCTGCCTCAGCCTCCAGAGTAGCTGAGATTATAGGCATGTGCCACCACTCCTGGCTACTTTTTTGTATTTTTAGTAGAGACAGGGTTTCACCATGTTGGCCAGGCTGGTCTCGAACTCCTGACCTCAGGTGATCCACCTGGCTTGGCCTCTCAAAGTGCTGGGATTACACGCGTGAGCCACCATGCTCGGTCTCAGAGTGTATATTCTGTCTTATTTTCACCCCTGGACAGAAGAAAATCTGTTTATTTCACCCCACTTCTTTAAGAAAAGGCAATTCTCTCTAGGAGGAAAAAGAAAACCAGGAAGAAGGAGAGAGGAAGGAGGGGGAATAAGGGAAGATGAGAGAGAGAGAGAGAGAGAGAGAGAGAGAGAGAGAGAGAGAAAAGTAGAACATCAGATTAAAGTAGAAGACAGGAGAGAGGGGAAGGAAAGAGGGAGCAGGAAGGGGGATGCTCTAAGCTCTCAATTTCAGGACTGTGCAAAATGATTTTCCAGGAGATGCACATGTGGTCTCGTATTTCTCACAATAGTCTACCTGGGGTTCCCTCCTCAGGTCTGTCTCCCACTACCAAAACCCAGTATAGCCAGTCTCGCTGCCTTACCTGGAGGGAGGACCAGGACCTGGTGCCAGGTCTGGGACTCCACTGCTGTCCCTGAACAGACTCATTTGAGGCATTCACATTTCCCTCCACTCTTGGGGGAACAGCCTGCAACAGGAAAGGAGTGTGTGGTGTGAGTGTTTTTCCAGGGTCACCAGCTGGTCCTGGCTGACTGCACCCCCCTCCCCGACTACAAACACTTCTTTGAGGCACAGATCTCCTCTGTCGGTTGAGGGGCCTATGGGTGTTACTCGGGGAGCAGGCTCGGGGGTGGGTAACTGCTGTTGCTGCTGCCGCAGCTGCAGGAAGAAGGTGGAAAGACGCTGTGGGGCGTACTCAGTCTGGAATCTGATTTTTTTTGTTTGTTTTTTGCTTTTTGTTTTTTTGGACAGGGTCTTACTCCATTACCCAGGCTGGCCCACAGTAGTGCAATCTCAGCTCACTGCAACGTCTGCTTCCTTGGTTCAAGCGATTCTCACCTCAGCCTCCAGAGTAGGTGGGATGGCAGGCCACCACGCCGGGCTACTTTTTGTAGTTTTGGTAGAGATGAGGATTTGTCATGCTGCCCAGGGTGGTCTCAAACTCCTCAGCTCAAGGAGGTCAGCTGCCATGGCCTTCCTAAGTGCTGGGATTACAGGTGTGAACCACCTTGCCTGGCTAGAATTTGATTTTTAAAAACTTTTTTTTGAGGCTGGGCACCATGGCTCACACCTATATTCCCAGAAATTTGGGAGGCCGAGGTGGGCGGATCACCTGAGGTCGGGAATTTGAGACCAGCCGGTCCAACATGATGAAACCCTGTCTCTACTAAAAATAGAAAATTAGCCGGGCTTGGTGGTACACACCTGTAATCTCAGCTGCTGGGGAGGCTGAGGCAGAATTGCTTGAACCTGGGAGGCAGAAGTTGTGGTGAGCCGAGATTGTGCCATTGCACTCCAGCCTGGGTAACAAGAGCAAAACTCCATCTCAAAAAAAACAAAAAAACAAAAAAAAAACCCCACAACCCACCAAAAAAACCTTTTTTTTTGGAGCCACTTGCCCAAAATCTTAAAATAAAAAATCCTGATGACTCTGTCTTCAAAACAAATCCCAAATTCATACATTTCAATTGCTAGTACTCTAGTCTAAAACCTATTTTCTTAATTCTTTTTTCAAAAATTCAGGCCCAGTCTAGGTGTGTTGGCTGGTGTATGTAATCCCAACGCTTTGGGAGTCCGAGGTGGGTGTACCACGTGATGTCAGGAGTTCGAGACCAGCCTGGCCATCATGGTAAAACCCCATCTTTACTAAAAATACAAAAATTGGCCGGGCACAGTGGCTCATACCTGTAATCCCAGCACTTTGGGAGGCCGAAGTGGGTGGATAACCTGGAGTTCAAGACCAGCCTGACCAACATGGCGAGACCCTGTCTCTACTGAAAATACAAAAATTAGCTGGGCATGGTGGCCTGTGCCAGCTACTTGGAGGCTGAGGCAGGAGAATCGCTTGACCCTGGGAGGTGGAGGTTGCAGTGAGCCGAGATCATGACATTGCACACCAGCCTGGGCGACAGGAGTGAAACTCCATCTCAAAAAAAAAAAAGAAGAAAAAAGAAAAAATACAAAAAGTAGCCAAGTGTATGCACCTATAGTCCCAGCTACTTGGAAGGCTGAGGTGCAAGAACTGCTTGAGCCCAGGCAGTTGAGGGTACTGTGAGCCAAGATCTTGCACTCCAGCTTGGGCAACAGAATGACTCTGTCTCCAAATAAATAAATAAATAAATAAATAAATAAATAAAATAAATAAAATAAGTAAATAATTAAATGAAATTCAGGCCCAAAGTCCAAAATGTTCAAACTATTAAGATGTCTTTTACTGAATTTCTTGCAATGACCACTGTTAATAAAAATATTTGCACTTTTAATTTTACTAAAGGAAAAATTAAAGGAATATTCAATTTTGCTTGACATTCTCTAAATTTTGAGTACTCAAATATACTATGAGTTTCTTTTTTTTTTTTTTTTTTTTTTTTTTGAGATGGAGTCTTGCTCTGTCCCCTAGGCTGGAGTGTAGTGGCGTGATCTCGGCTCACTGCAAGCTCCGCCTGCCGGGTTCAGGCCATTCTCCTGCCTCAGCCTCCTGAGTAGCTGGGACTACAGGCGCCTGCCACCGCGCCAGGCTAATTTTTTGTATTTTTAGAAGAGACGGGGTTTCACCGTGGTCTCCATCTCCTGACCTTGTGATCTGCCGGCCTCGGCCTCCCAAAGTGCTGGGATTACAGGTGTGAGCCACCGCGCCCGGCCGAGTTTTCTTTTGGTTACCAAACTAAGAATAACATAAAAAAACTGATAAGTCAAAATCAAAGTTAGGTTTTCCTAGGTTAATTATAATAAAATGTGTACTTTTTTTTTCGATGAAGTCTCACTCTGTCACCCAGGCTGGAGTACAGTGGAACGATCCCTGCTTGCTGCAACCTCTGCCTCCTGGGTTCAAGCGATTCTCCTGCCTCAGTTCAAGTGATTCTCTTGCCTCAGTCTCCGGAGTGGCTGGGATTACAGGCATGCGCCACGTGCCTGCCTAATTTTTGTATTTTTGTATTTTTAGTGGAGACGGGGTTTCACCACGTTGGCCAGGATGGTCTTGAACTCCTGACCTCAAGTGATCCACCCACCTTGGTCTCTCAAAGTGTTGGGATTATAGGCATGAGACACCACACCTGGCAAATGACATATACTTCTAAAGTTAAAATACCCTCTTGTTGGCCTGCTCACGCTGTAATCCAGCACTTGGAGGCGAGGCGGGGATCACAGTCAGGAGATCGAACACGGTGAACCTGTCTCTACTAAAAAAAAAATTAGCGGGCGCGGTTGGGGCTGTAGTCCAGTACTCGGAGGCTGAGGCAGGAGAATGCGTGAACCGGAGCGGAGCTGCATAGTGAACCGCCTGCACTCCCTGGCGACAGAGCGAGACTCCGTCTCAAAAAAAAAAAAAAAAAAAAAAAAACCTCTGGTTTATTATACAGTGACATATAACTGTTAACGTGTTGATTTTAAAAAACAAAATTAACCAGCTGGCTCACTGCAACCTCCACCTCCCAGGTTTAACCAGCCGGGTCATTATATTTTCACTATTATATTTTGCAACACAATGTACATGAGAGACCACCTGTACGCAGATGCAAACAATGTTGTCCCGATAAACTTGTGATCAGTGGATTCTGGCAGTGGTGTAGATCTGAACCCCACAGTTAAAAGTCCTGATGGCTGAGTTTGACTTTGGTCAAAAGGGGAGGATGATAAGTGAAAAAGCACCTAGGAACTTGCAGTTGGGAACTGACAGGCAAGTTCAAGTCTTCCCTACCAAACATAAACATCTCTTGTAAAATATTTTAACCAGTAAAGGTTGCTCAGTGATTGTCATGCAACAAGATGTAGAGAGTTCACTCTAACTGTTTGAAACCAGAGAGATTTGACACTCTGCAATCAAGACCACATTAATCCCCCTACCTCCCAGATAAAGTTACCAGGATAATCACCCAATTGCCCCATTTTCAAAAACTGGTCCCTACTCCCTAAGCACTCTCCTCTAGTCAACTCCTATAATCGACTCCCTACGACATGCTTATTTTCCCGTGTTGTCTACTCTCCCTTGATGCAGCACATCAAACAAACCTAGTCTTGTTGGAATATACTATGTGGTCACTGGGTGGCTGCCAGCACCTGTGCAAATCTAGGGAGCCCATTTGGAGCCTTCCTGCACCTCCATCCCTCAACCCTTGCCCTGCCTCCTTCTCATTTGTCTCAGCATCCCTTGATGATCCCTGCGTGAATCAGTTCTTACACTGCTGATTGCAAAATAGTGACTTCACTCCAAAATTCTTTGAATTTAGAGTGAAGAAAATTTTTGATTCTGGGGCATCAGAAAAGCAAGCACTAGTCAGATGATTAAGTTTGGCATGAAAGGATTTACCTCAGAGCAGATAATTACTTGGAATGAATTATCTTGGGAAGAGCTATGGGGATTGGACACCCACCCTAAGGTGGTTCAAGGGGCGGGTTGTTTTGTGTACCTATAAGGATAGAGCCTAGGCCCTTCCCTCACTTTTTCTAAGTCCTTTGCCAACCAGTTGCTTGGACGTGACCCTCTTCTGAATCAGGTCAAAGCAGAGCATAGGCATGGGAACAAGTGCTCTCAGCAAGAAGCCGTGGTGGACCCTGCCTGAAAACTTTCATGCTCCAATGGTGTTCCACATGGAAGAGGACCAGGAGGAGCTCATCTTTGGTGAGTGGTCTTTGCCCACGTCCCCTCCTTCATCCTTGTCTTCTCAGTTTTCAATCTTTTACTCCTTTTCCACCTTCATCAGTCACACGTCCGTTCCCCCAAGGCCACCTCCCGACTCCCCAAGGGCTTGTGCTTGACAGACCCTCCTCTCACCTCTTATGCTCACAGGGCACGGTGACACATACCTTCGCTGCATTGAGGTGCACAGCCACACCCTTATTCAGCTGGAGAGTTGGTTCACAGCTACAGGCCAGACTCGTGTGACTGTAGTCGGACCACATAGGGCAAGGCAGTGGCTGCTGCACATGTTCTGTTGCATGGGGAGTCAGAACTCCTGTCGTCATGATCAAGGTAGGTATCCTTGGCTGAACTGTGGTAGTGGAGGGCTTGATGGTGGAGTTCTGGCTGAGTTGTGTGGCACCTTGGATTATTGAAGGATCCCTTGTGTGGCCCGGGAATCCAGGTGGTTCCTAGAGTTCACTGGGAAGGGAAGGGCTCACTCTTGTGGCATCCAAATGCTCAGGGAGTAGAGGGTAGTGGGGAGATATAAATGGGTTACCTTGGAAGGCCTGAATGGGGTGACATCCTCCCTGCAATGTCCCTGGTGGAGTCCAGGCCTGCCAAGGGCCCCAGTAGTGGGCTCTGCTTCACCAGCCCCGGGCACTTCTTTTGCAGGCCTCGAGATGCTGGAGCGTGTCCGGAGCCAGCCCCTGACCAACCATGACCTGGTCGCCTCCATTAGTGTGCCACCATACACTGGAGATCTGTCTTTCGCCTCCAGGATAAGTGGAAACATCTGTCTTAGCGTTCCTCAGCCTTCCCCTTATCAAGTGATTGGTTGTTCGGGATTCCATTTGAGTTCACTCTATTTGTAATTAAGGACTGATCTCCCCTGGAAAAGTGGGGATGAAAGGAGAAGTCTTGGCTTTGCTTTTGGTGAGAAAGACATGAAAGACACTGAAGAAAGTTTGAATTTGTGGCTGGGACCTGTCCCTCTCGGATCTTGTAGACGTGTGTCTGAGGGAAGTCTCCTGAACGTAAGAAAGTGTTATTGCAAAGCAATCCAATAATAAGCTACCTATGATGCAAAGCCTTCGATGTGCTGTTCTCTTTCCTTAGGATGAACTTATTCAGCCCTGAAGGGGATTCTCTGGACAAGTGCTGAGGTCTGGGGAGGCCCAGCCCAGGGAAGGAGCCGGGTACGAAAGTTGGCACTTTCAGGAACTGCTCCTTTCAGGTCTGGAGCCTGGTTAGGCTGCTCTGAGTTGAGTGAAAACGGGGGCTTCTGAAAAGGGACCCTCCTAGGATCCCCAGGGTTTTCCGGGACCTTGAAGTGCAGACAAATGGGGAGAATGGAAAGGTGGGAGGAAGGGTCCAGATGGAGATTCTGAAGTCCCTCAAGCTGTGAATTAATCCATTCCAGAACACTCTCCGAATGCCAAATCTACATTTGGATCTCTCTAGCCAAGATTACGGCAAGCTAAACCTGTCCTCAGTTGAACTCTTCCCACTCAAATTTCTTCTTTCTCCAGCAGTCTGTATATCTCATAATGAGGCAATTGCAGTCATCTAGCATAGAGCGACGATGGTGACTTGGACTAGAGTAGAATGGTAGAAGTGTTAGGAAATGGTTGAATTTGCAATCTATTTTGAAGCCAACACGATTGGTTAATTACATGGTTTTTACATGGCCAGTTACCAAATAAGTCAGAAAGATCATATTCAAAGTATAAAAACACTTATGAATTTGCTTGAGGAAGAATATAACTAAGCTACACTATTCTCAAGGAGAATATCATGTTTACTTTTAAATCTATAATTTAATAAGTGATGGCTCATAAACTAGAGGAAAAACTTATTTTGTAAAAGACATGTGCAAAAAGAGTATTTTCTCTCTCAAGTTTCATACCACAAATGATGAAATCAATATTTTGTATTTTAAGGCCATAATTCTCATCTCTAAATCCCAGTCACCAGAGGTTTCTATGTGGGTACAGCCTAGGTATCATAATGGAGGAGTGAATATCTCAAACATTGGCGTGAGATTACGAGCACTTAAATAGTAGCTCTACCAATAGATAGCTTTATGATCTTCAGCAAGTCACTGATTTCTTAGTGCGCTGGTTTTCCCATATAAAATTGAGATAATACTGATTACCTCAGGTGAGAAACTTTCTTTTGCCTGGATTCTTTCACCGTCTTTCTTCTAACAGAACTATTGTTTCGTAAAGGCGTACGCTACCTCCGTAGCTCCAAAAGGGGAATGGTGATTGACATAAGCCAATCAGGCCATACACATTGTAATTCACTGGTCCAGGAATGAGCATGTGACCTGTATTAACCTAACCAGGTTAGGATTTATATTCTGCACTTGGGTGGAGGGTTTCCTGCCTCCTCCTGTCTCTGGTTAGATGTGATTTTTTTTGTTTGTTTTTTTTTTGAGACGGAGTCTCGCTCTGTCACCCAGGCTGGAGTGCAGTGGCCGGATCTCAGCTCACTGCAAGCTCCGCCTCCCGGGTTCACGCCATTCTCCTGCCTCAGCCTCCCGAGTAGCTGGGACTACAGGCGCCTGCCACCTCGCCCGGCTAAGTTTTTGTATTTTTAGTAGAGACGGGGTTTCACTGTGTTAGCCAGGATGGTCTCGATCTCCTGACCTCGTGATCCGCCCGTCTCGGCCTCCCAAAGTGCTGGGATTACAGGCTTGAGCCACCGCGCCCGGCCTTAGATGTGATTAAGGAGGTGTGTGGCATTAGTTGCCATTGTTGTTATCTTGCAGACAATAAGAGGAGCACCAATAATATACAGCTGAAAAGGAGGACAGCAGAGACAGAAATAAACTGGAACTTTGATGATGTCAAATTGTGTTCTGCCTGGAGTTAGTCCTACCTCTGTTCTTCCAGTTAGATAAAAATGTCCTTCTATTGAAGGTTGTTTCTTGTGGTAATGTGGTAAGGATGATATTTTATGGTAACTAGGAAGCATTTTTTGACACAATCTTGGGCAGTCACTAAGCCTGGGTTGTTATTCTAAGGCTTGGGATCCAAAGACTCTGTAGGCTGGGCTCTGGGTGTGGCGTTGGTAGGAAAAAGTAAAGAGAAGTGGGGAGCAGAAGTATGGTGTTACAGGGCACAAGGATGGGGAACAGTAGATAGTCCCCCTTTTTTCTTTGGGGTCTACAGTGAAGTTTGACAGAAGGCAGTCTTTCTGATGAGTGGTCAAAGTCTAGGCATGGGTGTCATCTATGGGGTCTGAGTCAGTTGTTTTGGGGCATGGGGAGGAGTAGAGACCAACAATGTGAGGTCTAAGTGGGATGGGATTGGGGCTCTTTAGGTCCTAGTCTTGTAGAAACATGATTACTGGTTATGTGGCATTAATTTCTTCCCAGGCCCCTTTGGAAAAGTAACAGATTACTTTATACAGTAAAGACCTTTGGGAAAAGTAACAGATTAAATTTGTGACACAGTGCGAATGAGGCTTAATGATTGCACTTTCCTCTTGACTGCAGAGCCTCTGAAATTAGGGGTTGGAAGTTGTTGAAAGCCAAATAAAAGTCCTGGGGTGAACAAAACACCTGTTCATTAACATATTGAGTCTCTACTACATAGTATTGTGTGAGAAGCTAGAGGTATAATGTGAGTGAGATATCCCTGCCCTTAAGTTGTTTTAATCTGGGACATTTGTGGTGACTTTGGGCCCTAGGGAAGAATCTAGAGGTGATGTTCAGGAGGGACATCTGGGCTGGTGATTGGGCGGGATCATTCTGCATTAGTAGTTGAAATCATAAGCGAGACCACCTGGGGAGAGCATGGAGTCCGAGGGAGAAAAGGGAAGAGGCTGATGGAATCCATGGGAACACCTACAGTTAAGAAATGTGAAACAGTCCAGGCATGGTGGCTCACACCCGTAATCCTAGCACTTTGGGAGGCCAAGGCTGACAGATCATAAGGTCAGGAGTTTAAGACCAGCCTGGCCAACATGATGAAACCCCGTCTCTACTAAAAATACAAAAATTACCTGGGCATGGTGGCATATGCCTGTAATCCTAGCTACTCAGGAGGCTGAGGCAAGAATTGCTTGAACCTGGGAGGTGGAGGTTGCAGTTAGCCGAGATCATGCCACTGCACTCCAGCCTGGGTGACAGAGTGAGACTCTGTCTCAAAAAAAAAAAAAAAAGTTAAATCAGCTCAAGTCACTGAATTGATTGTTCTCCTTCACTCAGCAAATAGAAGATTAAAAAATGAAATATTGGGCCGGGCGCGGTGGCTCAAGCCTGTAATCCCAGCACTTTGGGAGGCCGAGGCGGGTGGATCACGAGGTCAGGAGATCGAGGCTATCCTGGCTAACATGGTGAAACCCCGTCTCTACTAAAAATACAAAAAACTAGCCGGGCGTGGTGGCGGGCGCCTGTAGTCTCAGCTACTTGGGAGGCTGAGGCGGGAGAATGGCGTAAACCCGGGAGGCGGAGCTTGCAGTGAGCCGAGATCACGCCACTGCACTCCAGCCTGGGAGAGACTCTGTCTCAAAAAAAAAAAAAAAAAAAGAAATATTTCCGTGTGATGGAGGGGCCTGGCAAAAATAAAAAACAAATTAAAAAAAAAATAAATGAGAAACAATAGGAGCTTGGAGAAGTCTATAAAGATGACCAAGCCAGAGAGGTAGGACTGTGGCAGTGTGAAATATGTACAGTATTTGGTCTTAGTCCTGTTTCCTGACATACAGCTCCTAAAACCTTTGGAATCTGCAAATTGATGAGTGTCTTTAGTATGCTAATGAGATGACTGGTGGCTGAGAACCCTTGGGTAGCTTCAGGATGGGGACTGGTCACAGGGAAGGTCAAGATGTGATTAGAGGGTTGGAACTTTTCAGCCCCACCTCTAAATCTGGGAAGGGGAGAGGGGCTGAAAGTTGAGCTAATCACCAATGGCCAGTGATTTAATCCATCCTGTCTATGTAATGAAGCTCCATGAAACCATAAAAGGACTGGGTTTGTGGAGATCCTGGATACTTTAACACTCGGAGCTTCCTGGAGGGTGGCATGCCTGGGGAGGGGGTAGAAGCTCTGCACTCTTTCCCTCATAACCTTGCCCTATGCATGTCTTCATCCATATCCTTTGAAACATTCTTTATAATAAACCAGTAAATGTGTTTCCCTAAGTTCTGTGAGCTGCTCTAGCAAATGAGTCCAATCCCAGGAGTAGGAATCCTGATTTATCCCTAGTTGGCCAGAAGCCGAGGTAAAACAACCTGGGGCTTGTGATTGGCATCTGAAGTGGAGGGCAGTCTGGTGGGACTGAGCCATCAGTCTGTGGGATCTAATGGTACTTCCAGGTAGATAATTCAAAATTAATTTTTTTTTCTTTTTTCTTTTTTTTTGAGATGGGGCCCAGCTCTGTAGCCCAGGCTGGAGTGCAGTGGCATGATCTCAGCTCACTGCAACCTCTGCCTCCTGGGCTCAGGTGATTCTCCTGCCTCATTCTCCCGAGAAGCTGGGACTACAGGCGCCTGCCACCACGCCCAGCTAATTTTTGTATTTTTAGTAGAGGTGGGGTTTCATCATGTTGTCCAGGCTGGTTTCGAATGCCTGAGCTCAAGGGATCTGCCCACGTCCACCTCCCAAAGTGCTGGGATTATAGGATTACAGGTGTTAGCCACCAAGCCCAGCCCAGAATTGAATTTAATTAGAAGACACCCAGCTGTGTCCACTGCAAAACTGATTGATTGGCTGTTGGTGGTGTTAAAGGAAATTTAAAGGAGCCCATTGATTTGGATTGAACTACTACTGCCAGGCCCAACAGACAAAACCACAACGGAATCACTCATGCTAAACTTAGACATCGCCAAGCCAAAACTAAGTTGTTTGACCTTTCGAGAAATC